GACGCGCCATTGAGTTAGGTCGATACTTATTGTCGGGCCTATCAAAGGAAAGTGATTCTTTTTGAAGTATACATAAACAGAGCAGAAGATGGATATTTCACACCTTATTGTAATGTCGAGTACTTTGATTAGATAGCATCCAACGGGCACATAAATCACCTGACCAGTTAACGGCTGTTAAAAAACGTCTAGCCGGTCAAACATGCTTGTGGAAAAGCTAAAAACACCTCAAAAAGCCGAACAACGAAAGCGAGGTTAAGCAGTATGCCATTCGTATCCTTATGGGCACCTACATATATCTGAATACTCTTTATCGTTGTGCTGCGGTATAATCAGGAACCGACGCGCCCTACATTATCCTAGCAGCCAGATATTCATCCGGTGGTCGCAAACGTAGAAACCACAAAAAAAGTTAGTGGAATCCAGTGTTTCACAGTACCCTCTCCGTGATTAATACCATACAAAGGTGATCTATCTAATCGAAACCGGTTCTACAGTGTCTATCCGACGGCTAAATTGCGTATGTTGCACACAACAGAACGATAAAACTCCCAAGAGTAGTCGAACACCTATATTGACATAAACGGCTAGCGCGTCACTTACCAGTTTATTTGCAAATAACGTTACCCCGCAAGGATAGACCGATTTTTGACGCATAGTACCCAAATGGCTCTCACAATTCTATCAACAAAACAGTACACGTTGACTTAAAGCAGTCAGTGTACAGTGGAGTGAAGTTCAAACACATTGCTGAACTATCACAGCACCCTACCCTGACAAACCAAATCATAACAAAAGCACCCAGCTTCGCCCGTTAGGAAACATCCTCGCAGGGGTCACACAACTAACCTGATCTAATCCCTGAAAATATTGTGGAATAATCCAGTTCCTAAGCTGGCCTTCAATGAAACGTTTCTCGACAAAACTCGATAGTAAACGCTTTGTACATAAAAACGAGTGATTGATCCACAACGTTTATCTGTCGTGAGGATAGTGCGACTAAATATACCCATAAATATGTCGTTGCCTTTCGTTACCGAGCATTCGATGAGTACGTATACACGGTCACTTGTATCCTCTAGTGAACCGAGGAACGTCAAGCAAATGCTGCATCCTCCAGTACGCTTATTTTCTGTTCTGATGTATCGGAAAGTGCACACTTTGAGCCTTTCTGAATGATATCTACCAAACTCGGGCAATGGAATCTTTTCCATCTTTTCCATCACGAGTCACAGGGCGACAGTGGTTCAACTGTTCGCACTAATTAGCATAACGTGACAATTACATCAGAGAAAACCGCCTGAATCTAATCACCATATTCACATACGCACCAACTTGGTCCTAGTTCAAGAAAAAACCCACAACTAAATACGAAACGTCAATGAAACCCCCTAGTCCACCAGCTGATACGATACTCCAATGACGGTCAGGCAGCACATCTAATCGATGAGGCATCAATATGTTACCGTTGGGTTCTGCTTATGTATCTGAAGACTTTAGAATCCCCCAAAATACCCTATTTAATACAACATAATACAATATTTCTAGGCAGAATCAGCGGCCTGCCCTTTGACTTCTCAGACACAGGAAGCGATTTGTTTGATTCTGTGCTGCTCATCTGCCCTCAATCATTAATGTGGAAGGGATAATAGGCGAGCGGAGGACAACAATAAAACGTGGGACAGTGGGGCTGCCCTGGCAAGCTCTGGAAAAACTTCCAAGCGAAACAATAACGGAATTTTCGAGGACACCCTCGGAAGCAATAGATTCGCTTATCCGACTACTCAGATTTATTACTTTCAACTGTTTCGCCGTTTCCCGAGTGCCCGATGATTTCTGACAAAACCATCTGCATGTTAGTTGTACCCCTTCAGTAGTGAGGTTGAGAATGTGTTTAGCACAGTCGAGGAGGATGTACATCTTTGAACACCGTATTTCGAGAATGGAAGATCCACTGAATCTCAATCCACAACGATGTCGCTGTGGAACGCCCAGGATGTTCGGACGAC